ATGCTATACGAAGATCGCATTTGTTAGATGAAGAATAGCTTTAATAGCTACTCGTTCATAAAAGCATAATACCATAATAATTGTATATCCGATGAGTTTTATAACCATACTAAACATAATATGCCTGTAACGACGTTCTTCAGGCGTCGCAGCATTATGACAACTGTCACCCCAAAAGATAGACTGTAGCTAACAGTCAGGGCGCGGGATCATGACTTCCCGTATAGATCTATACACATTTGACACGTTCTCCGAACGGGAGACTCTGGTTATAGACAGGACTTGCAGCATTACTTTCTAATAAAGAAAAGTAACGTTTGAAGATATACACGTCTCATGGATTCTCAATTAAGCCCGTATTAAAGTGATAGTTTTCTATGAAAAGTTTATCCTTTTTCACAATGTTTGACAAATCAAAATCATAAGTTTTTAGAATGTATAAAACGACTTAGCAATGAAAGGTACTTTGAAATCGTTATATACTTTGTATAAGTCTAATGCACACAAAGTATGACAAGAGTTTTCCATAATAGTAATGAGTTCCAAGTGATTTATTCGGTAAAACAAGCTAAGTGAAACTTTATAAAATACACGATAATAACCGTATGTTTACTTGTATTCCCCCCTAAAAGAGTATAAAAGCATTTGAAAATGTATTTAAAGTGTGTTTGAAAGGGGTATGAACTCACTTGAAAGTTTGAAGATAGCAAGATGGAAAACCGGGCAGAGTTTCGTCTCGGGAAATGGATTTTTCTCGGAAATCTCGGGATTCCTCGGGAGTAAAATCGACCTTCGGGACCTGCACAAAATGACCAGGGCTTCGGGGTAGTGCGAGCACGGAAAACGAGGTAAAATGCAAGAAAAAGGAGAGAGAATGGGCTATTTTCCTGGGAACCCTCGCATGCTATTTATAGGGGGGCCTGAGAGGCCTCGTATGCGGGGCGTACGCTCGTATGCAACGCGTACGCGTACGTCATGCGTGACCGAAGCCTTGACTGCCTCGACCTCGGATGGGACGGCTCAGGCAGTCGGGTCGGATGGGACGGCGGGTCGGACGGGCGGGTCGGGTGCCTCGCATAGGGCGACGTGGACGGTTTGAGGCCAAGTTCCTCGGGTACGCGGGGCGTACAGGGGTACGCAGCGCGTACCTCGGATGAGGACGCTGACTCCCCTTCGGATAATACCGAAGTTTTAATAAAAATTATATATAAATTATTTATCAAACTTTGAAAATTCATATCTCCTTCATACGAACTCCGTTTTTGACGTTCTTTATATCCCCGCGAAGGTGAGACTACGATCTACAACTTTCATTTAGATTCTGTTGGCAAATTCCGGAATTATTTTTATTATTTATTTATTAAAATGACGTGATTAAGGAATTTCTTTAAAAATTCATAACTTATTCATACGATGTCCGATTTGAGCGTTCTTTTTATGCATGTCTGTAGTTTAACGATATCTACGACTTTCATTTAGACACCTAAGGTCGAAAAGTGTTTTATTGAAACTTTGCGTTTTTACGCAACTTCGTATTGCTGGTTTTTGTCGGAAAACTTAGAATGAGCATAACTTCTTCGTTATAACTCGGATTTTTGTGTTATTTATATGTTTGGAAACCTTAAGACGATAACTACCACATAGTGTACTCCAAATAGAGTTTTTGAATACTTCATTTTTCGATGATATTCTATTTCCTTTCTCAAAGAGGTTACAAGACTCGATTTTTACTGACTTGAAATAACGGGTTGTTACAAATTAATTAAACTAGAGGGGTTGAATTGTAATTATGTGATAGTTACAAAATATGGTAATGGTTATTCTAAATATGGGTTGAACGAATTCAAGGAGATAAGGATCCTTGAAATCGTCCAAAGGATAAAGGATAAGGGTTTTCAAGGCTTATCTTATGGTTGCTTTGTGGATAAGCAACTAGATAAGGATAATGACTGAAACCCTATCTCTACACCTATATAAAGACCTAAGGCCTTAGAATTCATGTACTTGTTCCCAAGGAGTCCTAAGGATGAATTCTAACCTCTCTCTCCTCTCTCTTTATACCTTCTCCATTTTCTCTTGGTGTTTGTAAGCAATTAGAGGAGTGACACTTGTGACTCTAAGCATTCCAAAGTCAATTCAAGGAGATTTGGGATTGTTATTACTCTATAACAATCAAGGTATGATCTTAAACCTAATTACATATTAATATGATTACTTGAATGCTAGAATTAGGGTTTATAGTCTTGGAGTCAAAGCATGTACAATAGAGAAACCTAGATCCAAGCATTAGGGTTTGTATGAGCACATAGGATGTCTTATGATGAAAACCCATCAATTATGTGTAGCAGTTTGAGAGGAATTGATCCCAACACCGAGGAAAGTTCAGATACTTCATGACATTGAGGTGAGTTACCTTCTAGTAGAAGTGGGTCTAAGGCATTAAAGTCAACCCACTAGTAAGAGTTATAGTAGAGATAATCGCCTTCGTGATAATTATTTGGTATTTTATGCTCTGTTATGATTATGTGCTAGCATGGTATGATGTTATGTGGTAGTAGATAGTAGGGGGAATAGTCCCCATGTTACGGTTGTAAGGACCGAATGATAGGTCGGGCACCCCAGATATGCCTGACAATATGTTTATACTATGTTATTAACTGATAGTGGTATGGGTGAAATAGTCCCCGTACCCGGTTGACATGAACCGGAGGGTAGGTCAATATCCTAGAATTCCTAGACAGGGCAGGTCGGCGCCCTAGAATTACCAGAAAATGTAGGTCAGCACCCAAGAATTGCCAGACAGAGTAGGTCGGGCACCCCAAAATTTCCAGTTAATATGTTTGTTATATGGTATATGGTATGATAGAGGAACTAACTAAGCTTCATGCTTACATTTTTCAGTTTTGTTTCAGGTACCTCTTCTTCAAAGGGGAAGGAGCCGGCACGGTAGCAACGCATCACTCACACACATGATTTCCTCCTTATGGGATTCTTGGGACTGTACTCTGACATGATTACTATTTTATGTTATGGTTTGAGACACGTGTGTATGTTTTATGAAATGATATGAATCTAAGATGTTTTTCAGTAAGCTGTTGTATATGCCACTTAATCAAAAACAAAATTTTTGGCCTTGAAAATTGTGATGTTACAAGTATGATGATGATATTAGTTGTCACCCCCTCTTGGATAATGAAACATGGTGTGATGTTTCTAGAGGAGTCAAGAAAGGAAGAATATATGGATTCAGATTTGTATCTGATTCAATGAGCGTTTTAGAAGGAACATCTAGTACAATAACATCCGAAGAGGTTCGTTCAATTTTCTACTTTATAAAAATTTTCTATCAAAAAGTTTCCTATCATGGCATTATACTTACAAAGTTTCTTATCATGGCATTATACTTACAAAGTTTCCTATCATGGCATTGTACTTACAAAGTTTCCTATCATCGCATTATACTTACAAAGTTTCCTATCATAGTAGTGTACTTTAGGTTGCGATGAACATGTAAGAAATGAGATGCATGGAGAAATGGATGTTAAAGCTGCAAAAATGAAAGCTTACGATCGACAAATACGTGAAGAAATGGATGCCAAAGTTGAAACAATAGATGTCACACAACAAAAAATTGATGCAAAAATATGAAGTAATGGAGAAGATGTATGCAGTCTTGCAAATATGATGAGAAATTGAAAATCAGAGGTAATATGAAGGTAACCTTTCATATTTGAAGTTTTTGAATATATTGGTAACATTTGGTATTTGATATTTTTGATTGTTTTGAATAAAGTTTTATATGAATGAGAATTGGAGATGCTTGTATGAACATGAAATGAGGAGAGCAACTAAAATGTTATTTTGAATTTCTTTTGTTTTGAAAATTAATTTCTAATGCTTATTGTGAAGGTTAAACTTTTTTTATTTGTACCTCTTTTGCATACTTTCGATTTCTTGCTGCTAAAATTTTCTCAATTGTTGGGAGTTTGATGTTATGTGGACAGTTTAGTTTTTGGATGTTTTGATTCTCTTGGAAAAACTTTTACAAACCGTTTTTTTGTCTTTGAATGGTATTTGATGTTTTTGGTAAACTTTGATTGTTCTGGCTTTGTAATGTTAATGTTTTTGGATGCATTGATAGTTTTGTCATTGTAATGTGTGGCTGTATCATTATTTGATGTTTTGTTTTTTGTATAATAATTTTATGATCGTAGTATTTTTGTTTTAGAATCGTAATAGAAAAAAACATGATATTATATGTTTGCGACGGATCATCGATGGAAAAAAAATTATATATGAATTTTGTGACGGATTAGCAATGGAAAAAAAATCATATATAAAGTTTGCAAGGGATCAGCGACCAAAAACGAAAAAACATGACCGAATATTTGCGATGGATTCGACGATTGAATACAAAAACAAACGGAGATTTGCGACAGAACATCTACGAAATGTTGTTAAGAAATTTTTTCGCCATGTCTTGACTAATTATTGAGTCACCATTTGGCGATGGATGTTCTGTCGCTAATTTTGTCGCAAGGAAAAACAGATCCATCGGTAACACCCACACTATGTCATTGGCCATGTTTTAATTACCTATGGAGTGTATCTGTCGCTATCCATGGCAAACAACATTTAGCGGCGGAATAGTGATGGATTCGTCCCCCTTTAAAACCCATGTTTCTAGTAGTGATATTATATTATTTATTAATCTTTAGTAAAACAAGTTTCTTATTTTAATACAAATTTTAACATACTTATATGTAGAAAAAAATATATTACAGTAAAATGATAGCGAATTGTATTTTTTTCGATATATAGTTTAGCAAAAAAGACTTTTATAACAATTGCAAAGTTGCAACATTACATATAATTTGTTCTAGGGAAAGAACTTTTGCTGTCCATGATACTTTAAATTACTCAATGGAAAATTTCTACCTATCTACCTATGAGTATTACAGTAATTACATTTGATTTGTTCATTTTGTGAAGATCTATAGTTACGTCTCATAATTTCGTACAAGACCTTCATGTGGTACAGGCAATATGGTTAGAATAGTAGTATTTCTTGGACCTTGCTCTAGGGGTTGCGAAGAGGCAATGTCGCTATAATTCCCACCTGTGACGATCTTTTGACATGTTTCGAGTAAGGAGTTCCTGCAAGTTGGACAAGATGAATGTGAACTCAGCCATTTATCGATGCAACGCACATGAAATCCATGGTTGCACTTGGGCAGGATTTTTACTAGCTCTCCTGTTGAAAAATCACCCAAGCATATCACACATTCCTTGTCTAATCCTGGTAGCTTCAGTCCTTCCCAATAGCTGACTGTTGGGAAACTCTTTAATGCTTTCTTCGTGATTCCAGTGTTGGCTTTAACTAAAGTAATTTCCACGCTACCGCTGCTTTCTGAACTAGATAATCCCGTGCATCTTAATACGCACCTGATGATGGAGTTCAACGCTAGTGAACAAATCAGAGCGCATAGCAGCACTGACAGCACCATCACCACATTCGCATCAAAGTTGTTATGTTCTGTATGTGGGCTTGACGATGATGGAGCTGTCACAGCAGCCGCTGGTTGTTGGTATGAGTACGTGTCAAGTAGAAGTTTTCTTGAAATAAAATGCTTCATTTCATTCTCAAAGAGCTCAGTAGATAGTCTTGACATGTTAAGTTGTTTGTGAGTAATGATCAAGGTTTGTTTAGATGAGAATACCATGTATGTCCAACATTTAGGTATATATAGGGGTGATTACAGTGGGGTCCTGCTTACTATATTTTAATAATAATAAAAAAAAAGAGAGTATATAGTATTGGATTTGAGCCACCATCTGGGATTTTATCTCGACGCTTTTGTAATAAATATAATCTCCAAAAAAAAGAGGATATCAGTATAGTATTTGAGCCACCATGAGGGATTTATCTATTGTCTTTGTAATTTATATGATCTCCACCATTTAGATCTTCCACTAAGGTATGTGTAAATGTGTAATTATTTAATAAATCGTTTCTCTATTTAGATGGGTCCGACGCACTTTCTGCAAGCTAAATAATGCTATATGTGATGCCGTTGAAATAAAATAAAAAATTAATGCTATGTGCGGCGCTTTTCTCCGTCGCCAATCAGTTCTTTTTTACCATTGAAGTATTGTTGATGCTTCGGTAACTTATTTGATAAGCACCGTTTTTTCTCCTGTTTCATGAAACGTTTTTAATTTAATAATTGAATGAATACATATGTTTAATTAAGGAGAACCTCAAATTATGTGAGAACCTAGAAACCTCTCATAGACGTAAATTACAATTCATATGTGGCTGTAATTTAACTGATATATTAGCTGTGTAAGGTAGAGGGGTTTACGGTGTGGTGCAGTCAATTAATACGGTTTAGGTTGCAGTTTCTGATGTTCAGAGAGTTTGTTAAATTTACAAACTTTTGTATGTACGTAATACATCATAATCCTTTTTTAAGGTATTTTTAAATTTATTGAAGTTACAATACATACATTATAATCTTGTTTGCCAAAACCTGCGATCGGCCAAACTTTTGCAATGATTTCAACGGTATCTACTTTAGTTTTTATGAGATAATTTCCCTCAATGTCACTTAGTAATCGGTTGCATGTATTGTTATTTATAGATCATATAGTTTACACTCCTCATAATTATAGTGTAGCTCGTGCCACTCTAACTTTCATGTCAATAAAGATGTAATTAATTTTTATTTTATTTTTTTGTCTAAAGAGCAGTTTGTTAATGTCTTTTAGATGTTATTTATTGTTATCGTGTCTTTTAATATCCAACTTTTACTTTTTATCTCATTCGAACTTGATAGCTCGTGCCACTTTAACTTTCATGCCAATAAAAATGTAATTAATTGTTATTTTATTTTTTTGTCTGAAGAGCAATTTGTTAATGCCTTTTAGATCCTATTTATTGTTATCGTGTCTTTTAATATCCAACTTTAACTTTTTATCTCATTCGAACTTGATAGAAAGAAATCGTGTGTCTCGAAAGATGCAGCCCTCATAATATGGATTGGGCTTGGAAAAAATCGCCTAGTAGTCCTCTTGAGATCTTGGAGTTGGAATCTCTAAAGGTAATCGTCGAGTTTTACTCGTTTTCTGATGGGAGTGATTCCTGGAAATCCAAGCTTTCGGCTGATGAATCCTTTTATGTGCATGATTTTAAAGCTCTAATTAATTGACTCCAAGGTGACTACTCCGATGTGCAACCCGACGAAATGGGTTTGGTTGGTCCCACTTAAGGTCATGGTGTTCGTTTGGCGTGCTGGCATTAACCGTATTCCCTCTGCAGGTGCGCTTTCTTGAAGGGGTATTAGGCTCCCATCCACCTCCTATCAATTTTGCGTTTCAGTGATTGATGAGACTGACCATTTTCTCACTAGGTGTCGCTTCGCCAAAGTTGTTTTGGTTGGATCTTCAACTAGTGTAACCTGCCCTTTCAGCAATTTGATTCAGCTGGAGGGCTCATCTTGTATGCGACATCTTGGGTGAATTGCCCTAAAAACATAAGACCTTGCTTGCTATTTTTTATGGTTACCTTTGGTGTATTTGCTGGACCAGAAATGATATAGTCCTTAATAAGACTCATATTTTTTTATGGGTACCTTTGGTGCATTTCCCTATATAAGCTGGAGGATATAATTCTCTCAAGGGTGTTTAGTTGGATTGAAAATAGAGGGAGTTTTGAGAATTGTAATCGGGTAAATTGGTATTGTTACCCTTTAAACATTTTGTAATGTGCTTGTTTTTTTTGTCATGCCTTGTCGCTTGGTAGGCAATGGTTTTAATAATATTTCCACCGGTTCCAAAAAAACATAGTTTATAAATTGTACACCTTAGAAATATGTATTATTTTAACTAATAATATAAAATTAAAAGATATTTTTAATAGATAATATTAACTTTTCGTGGCATGCGGATATCCATTGTACTTGTAATGTTCAAGACGATATCGAGCTTGGATGGGATATGGCTACTCTTAGACGTATCCCTATGGGAGGTACTGAGGAGTCTCAATGGGAGATGTTCTTGATATTCATGCACGCTATGCATCTTACTTTAATACCATATAGGCTAGGGTGGACTTTAGATAATACTGATATTTTTTCAGTTTCTTCGGCTCGTATTTTTCTAGATAGTGGGTTGATTACCTCGCACCGTATGGTTACTAGATGGAATAATTCGGTTCCTATTAAACTCAATATTCTCATTTGGACGATGCAACTTCGAAGTATCCCTATGAGGGAGAGACTTTCTTCGAGAGGTATTATGGTGGCGTCGATTATGTGCCCAATTTTTTCTTGTGCAATGGAGACCATTGAGCATCTTTTTCCAGGATGTCCAGAATTGATTGATATTTGGATTCGTATTGCTATCTGGTGCGTTAGTGTGCAGTGTATACTCTCTTGGTCTGATGTTGTCAAGTTGAGGAAGGATCAACGAAAGGCTTTTTATGCAGTCATATTGACTACAATTTGGAGTATTTGGAATTTCAGAAATCTTGTCATCTTTGGAACGGCTATCCCAAAAAGGTCTTTTTTTTTATTTGACGATGTAGTAGATAAAACTTTCTTTTGGATCTCTAATAGATGTAGCAAATCTAAGATAGCTTGGATTGTTTGGCTTAACCTAGCTTTAGCTTTTATTTTGATGTAATTGTTTCTTTTTAGCATCTTGTTAGGTCAATAAAATTACGCCATTCCTAAAAAATGTAAATAAAAAAATAAAAAATAAAAAATAAAAAACACTTTCCATGCACTGCGGTTTGAACCAAAAGTATGTCACTATACACCATAAAATCGGAGTTTTTAACCAAAATGGGGTTGTTGAAAAAAATATTTACTAATCTAGTATAGTTTTAAAAATATTTACCAAACTAGTGTTTTTCTTCATTTTTTATTTATTTTTCAATATTTCTTATTGTTTTTCTATTTATTTAAAATATCGGCTTTTTTACTTTTTTTATTTCAGTTTTTTTACTATTTATGGTTTTCAAATATCAGTTTTTTTTTACTTTTTTTTTTACTATTTATGGTTTTCAAATATCAGTTTACTTTTACTATTTATGGTTTTCAAATATCAGTTTTTTTACTATTATTTTATTTTTCAATTTCAGTTTTTTTTATACATTTATCACCATAACTTGCAGGTTTCTTACCCAACTATTCACTTTTACAAATTTGCACAAAGTAATATTTATGTTATCAAATTTTGTCCGTATATTTTTTTTTACAATTTTGTTTTCACATGTTTTGAAATAAAAGTTTTTATAGATTTGGAAATTTGTTTTCAAAATGTTTTTTTACATATGTAGTTTTATGCATGTATTTTATGATTTCTTTCGTTTTACAAATTAGATTTTTTTTTAATTTGTTTTTTATGTTTTTACATATTTGTTTTTATGTAAAGACATAAAAAATATGTAAATTTTTGCTTTTTATATTTTATTTTCAATGTAAAGAAACTCAATTAAGAAGCATGCAAATGTTGTATAAATAAAGACATGAGAAAAAACTTCTTGGATTAAGTTTTTAAAATATATGTATAAATAAATGGTAAGGAAATTAAAGTAAACTCATAATCATTATATAAACCGTGGAAAAAAATTACTCAAATAGGCATATAATGAACGAAAATAATAAAGTTCTTTTGTGTGTTAGATGTTTATGTTAAATGTATATTAAAAAAAATCTGAAACGAAAATAAAATAAAAAATAAAGTGGTATTTAATAACAAAAAAATAGTAAAAAACTGAAATAAAAAAAAAAGTAAAATAGTCGATATTTTAAATAAATAGAAAAACAATAAGAAATATTGAAAAATTAATAAAAATGAAGAAAAACACTAATTTGGTAAATATTTTTCAAACTATACTAGATTGGTAAATATTTTTTCCAATAACCCCGTTTTGGTTAAAAACTCCATAAAATCGCAATGCATTATACAGTTAATTAAACTTCAAAACGTACCAGAATGTTATAAATCGCGTTGTGAGCAGTTTACGCAATTTAATGAACACCCTATAGCAAAGGGTACATCTTTAATATTATAAATTGAAATAAAGGAACCTGTCATTAACGAGATACGATTAGCTGATTAATTCGTAATCATATAACAAGATCATGGTACATTATAAAGTGATATGAAACATCTTATAATTTTTTCAAGCATAATAAGAATTTTATGCAATTATGTAACTAAAATTTGCATTGCCGATGTCTTTCTCATTTTTCGTACGAATGTGTTTCTCATTTTGAACATAAAAAGTTTTTCCTTAATTTCATATGTTTTTCTCATTGCTTTTAAATGTTCCCTTAACAAACATAAATCTATCAAAAGTATATCGATAAATCATAACATATTGATTATGAATCTAATATCGACGGTAGAAATCCTTGCGATAATTGACAAACCTTAGTTCGCTAACAGATCAAATGAGAAACCCAGTGCACGAGATAATACGAAGTATTGTGAATATAATGAAATGTAAGTACATTGCACAAAAAATTGTGGAGTATTCAAAAAAAGACTTAGTAACAGAGGAAAGTGTTTAACATTATATATCAAAATCATCAAGTCTAGAGACAAGAAAGCACAACTACCGCAACCACCATGTTGAGTTCCTTGAGAACAATTGCATAGG